AGCGCACCTTGCCGGCTGGCTGGCAAACGGAGCAACCGGCTCCTTCGAGGAGCGGTGAGACCCCGGCCCGAGCGGCTATCCGCACGGCCCTGGAGTTGAAGAAGCAGGGGAGGCCGGACTACAATAGTCGGAGGAATTCGTAAGCACGTATCCAGCTCGCATCGCGTCGTGTGTGCACAAGCGGGAAGTGGGGACGGGTCTACATAGGGGCGGATGGAGGCGGATGGGGGGGAAGGTCGCTACTACAAGCGGGCGAGAGGCGCGGCGGGGGGGAAGGGGGGGGGGGGGGGGCGCACAGGGATGCGATTCTGGCCGTGGTGGGTACACGAAAAGGGCGGGGGGGGGTTAGGGGCTACATGAGCGGATGGCGGCAGAAGTAGGCTAGTTTCCACGGGATGACGAGACGCGTGAAAGGGACGATAGCGGCGCGGGAGGGAGGGGCGCGGGAGGGAGGTACCTCAATGTAGAGGGCGGAGGGCGCTGGAACAACGTGTTTTGGGTGTTAGTGCTAGGGTGTCGGCGCATCCCGGGGAGAGGTGGGGGGTGTGATGTGTGACATGTTGATTCTCGCTGACATGTTTTGTGGGTGTCGGTGTGGAGCGTTCTGACCAGATGTGTCCGGGTACACTTGGTTCGTAATGTGTGTGTTCATGCCGGCAACACTTTATGGTTAACATGCATCGTGTGCGGATGAAAGCGGGGTCCGGTAGGTCTCGGAGGGTGCTTGTTTTACCTAGGGCATTAAAAGTGTGGGCATGTTCGACTTTTTTTTTTCCTAATTAGGAGAGTGTGAATCGAAAACGTTGTTGTCGTTGATACAACTTTTAATGATGTCTCTGCATCCCTGCATTAAATATTCGTCGCGTGGGTGAAACATTGCTCCAGGTTGCAGACCTGAAGGAGACCCACACACACGCTAAAAATTGGGGTCTTGTCGAATCCCATCGCGAACACATTCCTGCGCTTCAAGTGAGCATGCGCGGAGACGGGAAAAATTGCAAGGCTCCAAATTTGCGGAACCCAAGCGTGCCTCAGAGTTCCCGCCAACACCCAACGTAGTATTGGGTTGCAAGAACAAGTCTTGCAAATAGGAAAACACCAAACGATATGCATGTCCGCAGATTGCCGGCACGGCAGGTTACCCGCAAGACAGCAATGTCTTCGGCGTTCTTCCACCGTATTTTTTCGTTGATACTCCTTTGTTGCCGCAAGGCATCCTCTCAAAGTGTTGTTGCCAACCAAACAACCTACACGCCTCTGCGGAGGCGCACGTATCCTAAAAAAAATGATGCTACGAAAAGACGAAGACGTTGACTCAACCATGCCCAACTATAAAAATGAAACCTCCCCCCCCTGGCCCAAAAAAAAATAGAAGGCTACGACCCTCGCAGCAAGCAAGCCCTGCAGCAGGGAGAGAAAAACAAAAAGCGTGCCCTCGTGTTCGTTGAATACAGGCACAGCAACTTGCCCGTGAACCACAACGGTCTCGGCGTTCTTCCACCGTATTTTTTCGTTGATACTCCTTTGTTGCCGCAAGGCATCCTCTCAAAGTGTTGTTGCCAACCAAACAACCCACACGTCTCTGCGGAGGCGCACGTATCCTCAATGCTGCGACGAAACGAAGACGTTGACTCAACCATGCCCAACGATAAAAATAAAACCCCCCCCCGCCCCCCCCCCGTCACGCATGCATAATATTCGACGATTGCACGGTAGGTAACACTTTTCCGGGAGTGCATATGGTTGTTATTCGTCGCCAAACATTTCCTTCTCGATGCCGGCCAACATTTTGCGCAGGAATCTAACTCTCGTCTGATAACCCTCTTCTTTTTCTTTCTCCTCCTCCACAACTTTCTTCGAGGATTCGGCGTGGGACTCGGTCATTTCCTTGTGGAGGGCGAGGCCAGAAGCTTTGCTGTCGTGTTCAGCAGTCTTGCAAGCGTGTTCCTCTTTTTTTGTGGACCACTCTGATTTTTCCGATCCGCCAACCTTTCCCAGCAGTGGCTCAATATCTTTGAGTGCGGTTTTTATGGCAGCGGCGTTGTTGTTCTTGATGTGGGTTTATCACGTCTGTTGTGGGAGTCCTTGGGTCTCTCGCCTGGTCGGGACCGGTGTGTGTACGTCGAGCCGTGGCGCTTTCCGTAAATTTTGAAAAAGTACGCGCCTTTTTACCGCTTTTTATGCCATTTCTTAGCCACTTTTTAAGCATTTTGTTGTTTTTTTCGTGGATTCCGGACGTTTGTCTCGTGATTGAACGTAAAAAACTTGTTACAGGTGTCCTTGTGGCAATAGGGCTTGGTTTCAGCACCGGCATCTAGTGCCCGCAGAACGAACAAATATTACCGGGAAAAAGCATGAAAAAATCGACCAAGTTTACGCCATTTCGTGGGTTCGAGACTCGCCCCCGCCCACTTTCCCCCCCCCCCTTTTTTTTACAGCACGACTATTTGGGACAACGTTGTCCCAAATTTTTATTTGGGACAACACGTCTAACTCGGTGTAGAAAGCTCGGATCGACCTCAAACCAAGCTTGTTGTAATCCTACTGGAAACAGCTTTCACGGAATGTATTTTGAGTCCACAACGGAGCCGGGGTTTACCGAAGCCACGGAGCCCCTTTTTTAGGCTCTATCTCCTCGGCCCCGGCTCCGTTGTGGACTCAAAATACATTCCGTGAAAGCTGTGCCCAGTAGGATTACAACAGTTTGAGGTCGATCCGAGCTTTCTACGCCGAATTAGACGTTTTGTCCCAAATAAAACTTTGGGACAACGTTGTCCCAAATAGCCGTGCCGTTTTTTTAATCCCTCTGCTCTCATGCGCCTTGCCGCGGGCGTTCAAAAGATGCCTCTATATTTGTTTTCCGCCAACGCAATCGAAAGTTACAGAGGGCCAACTGTATCGGGCTTCAGCTCTGCGTGCACTGCTCTATATAGAGCTAATGTGACAAACAACAACACTTTTCAGATGATTGGACCGACGATCCATGGTTCCCAAGCTCTACCGAGCTTGGGTCTTCGTTCCCACGCTCGGTACCCAGTCGATGAAAAGTCTTCTTGTTCTGTGGAATTGTCATAAGCGTAGTCTAGAATATATAGACTAGATCTAGATCTAGCCCAACCCTTGCCCGACCGATCTCAAAAGACGATCTCAGTCCACACTGCAAACCTTCGAGAACTACCAGCAGTTCTGTGTAGCTCAGACGATTTCAAGACTTGTCACTGCTGTTGTTTGAGCAGCTATCGCTTGCTGTGGCGTGAGAACCGGTTTCTGCTTAACTGATGCGGTCGAGCAGGTTTGTTACGGTTATTTTGTTACGGTGTGGTGCAATCGGGCCGCTGTTCTTGGAACTGTGGAATTACCGGGTAACTACGGTTAATACTAGTGTGGTATGGAACAAGGCTGGTTGGTGTAAACCGAGTGCAGCCAAGCGTACTACTTGGAAAGAGAACAGGTGGAAAAGAGCGGGAAACGTTTGAAAGGATACTGAACTATCGGGAGGTTGTGAGGCGGATTGGTACATTCATCGGGAAATAAGTTTGAGAGATTCGACAGGTCTTTTGAGAGGATTGGATAGAATCTTAGATTCTCGTTTTGAAAGCATGGACTGTCGGCAGAGTTGCGTTAAGAGTAGGATTTTGAAAAACTGTGGACATGTGTGTGGACGAAGAGACACCCACAAGTGGTCAGTCCGACCCGCCTGGAGTCTTCTCCCTTGTTGTCCCGATATGGTCAGAACTTCTAATAACACGACACTTTGATCGCAGCTCTACTGAACTTAAAACATTACCACGACAAGAACCTCGGCATCAACACAAATACGTACGCGGTGGGTAGCGCACCCCGATCCCCCGATAACGGTTGCTAGGAGTTGCACCTTTGGGAGGATGCGTTATTCCCAACAGGCACTATCAGTAAGGTCCGGTTTTCGGGCCCCGTCGAGAGGCTAGGTTGCTCGGTCCCCTTGCCTTGTAGGGTGGGGTCCCATGTGCAATCCTCTGTGGACAATTCCTCTTGACACCCAGGGTCCTGTCACTTGCATGGTTAGAGACCACACAGACCCACACAGACATTGGGCCAGCCCCTATCCCTAGCCTCTCCATCCGTTTTAGGTTGACTTGTTGTCGAGGGTCCTTTTTGCTGAAACAAACAAACGCTTCATCAATCTCCACACCGTTGTCATGCAGCACGCAACGTACACGCATCATGCAGCGCCCGTTCTGCTCCCGCTGCTGCTGCAAAATGCTTCTAGCTCGTTGTGCTTGCTAGGGAATGTCACAGATAAACCACAAGTAGCTCTGTGTAGCCGAGATGCTTGCACGGCCCCTCCGACGGGAACGGGTAAGCTACACGGCGACAGGCAGCTACGTCGGTTGGGTTATTTTGACAACGAACAACGAACTGCGGGATCACGTTGATCGAGTTTTTTCGTCTGAGACACCTTGTCCCAAGAAGCTCAAACTCGACACCCGCCATACAGTGCGTGTTCTCCTTCTATTGCCGTTGCTGCAGCAGCCTTTCGCGTAGAGAGTCTGTTGTGTGTTGTGCTTGCTGTCTGGCGGGACACTACGACGGGTGTGTGCATGTCTATCTATGTCTTCCATGTGTTGAGCAGGATGAAGGAAGGAGGTGGGGCATGATGACTACTACTGCTGCTGCTGCTGCTGTAGAATCATCAAGAGGCGGGTGATGCGCTCCATGAGCAAGGACGAGAGCATGGGCTTATTATAAACCTTTGTTCGGTGCGGTGTCGGTGTGCGTGCTGGTATCTACAACATACAAATGCATCACGGCATCGCTCATCTGCCGCTCGCTGCAGTCTCTTTTCGGGAGACTCCAAAAAAACTGGTCGCCCCGGTGGTCTAGTCTAGACTAGAAGTCTCTCGCTTCCTCTCCTGGCCTAGTGGATAGCGCTAGCTCGTGTGTTCACAGAGGGAACAGAATGCTGAACTCCTCTCGCATCAAAAATCGAAGGCAAAGTACCGCAGGAGGGGAGGGTAGAGAGGGGCTCTTCTATGTGACCACGGGTTGGAGTAAACGGCACCAGTGATGTGAGCGCTGGTTTGAAGTAAATGAAAAAAATAAATAAATCAAGGGCCCCTCTCTACCCTCCCCTCCTGCGGTACTTGCCTTTGGTTTTTAAGGCAAGAAGAAGAGTTTAGCACGCTGTTCCCTCTGTGTAAACACGAACTAGCGCTATTCACGACACCTACTACTGTTCGCGGGAGCATTGGCAAGGCAGCCGGACGGGCGACTCCCGAAACGACTGATGCTCGGCGAACTGGCAGGGGGGGAGAAGCGACGGCGTGGGGGGGACAGGAACAGAACTGGCCGAAGTGTGTGCTCGACGACCTGAAGGCATTCGGGGCCGACCACGGATCTACGAAAACCGATCCATGCTGTCTCGGAATCCCGGTACCGAAATACACGGCACCGACGCTAACGTGGACGGAAGCCGCGAAGGTGGAGGGGGGAGTACCCTGGCATGCGGCGGTGCTGCAGGGAGCTGAGAGGTTCATGACCTCCTGGCACGAGAGAAGGAAGAAGAGGCCAGCCGACAACGGGCGCTCAAACGAAACCACAAGCCACCACCAACCTTGGATGGGGCGGGAGGGGGGCAGGAGACGGACGAGACGGCGAGGGAAGAAAGCAAACGAGAAGAGACGGACCGAGTGGCGCGATACGTGCCGGATTGAATTTCTTTAAGCCAATTCCCCCCCCCCCCAACGTTGCACCATTGCATGCACGCTGCACCATTGCATTCACCAACCCCTCACTAGTAGTGATGACGTACCGTTACAATGTATCGCTGGTTGTTGGCCATGTTTGCGTGTTTGCTTGTCGTTAGTGGTCTCTCCACCGTGTCCCTTTTCTGTCTCTTATTTTTGTATTTTTAATTTTTTGTATCACATGACAAATCCATCTCTAGACTATCTATCTAGACTATAGAAATAAGTCTAAGTAAGATAGATCAGCAATGAAGCCATAGCGTGAGCGAAAGGCTACCTGTATGTCTACGGTTTCCCAGACAGCATACAACGATAGTTCCTCTTGTTATTTCGGCCTGGTCCCTATTTTTTGTCCTCGCTCTTTTTGTTTAATTTTCTCTTTCCTTCCTGTTTCCTTTTATTTTCTTCCCTTTTTCTCTTTTTCTCTCTTTTCCTGTGCCAGATATGGCCTTGTCTCCTTGCGTTGTGAAGTACCAAGATTGAACCAAGGGGGTGTACTTCATTCTCTCCGGCCCGTGACGGTGACTCCTAGTCTCAGTTGTTACCTCGCATAGCGCGCAGAGGGAGTGGAGGGCTCCAGAATATCTGGCGTTGATTTCTAGTGACTTGCGGACCCCTTGGGGACATTATTTGAGTGTACCTTTTTGGGGTAAGTTAGCCTGCGATCACGGGAGTCGAGTGTTGGATCATTTTTTTTTTTGGTCTTCACTTCAAATCAATGCTCACAGCAGTACTACTACTGGTGCCGTTTACTCCAACCCGTGGTCACACAAAGAGCCCCTCTCTACCCTACCCTCCTGCGGTACTTTGCCTTCGATTTTTAATGCGAGAAGAGTTCAGCACTCTCTTCCCTCTGTGTACACACGAACTAGCGCTATCCACTAGGCCAGGAGCGGAAGCGAGAGAAAAACTCACTGTGCAAGAAAAGCTCGCTTACGCCGGGATTCGAACCCCTGACCTGACTCCTATCTAGAAGGCTTCGAGGATACCAACTAGACCACCGGGGCGACCAGTGCGGACATACGAAGGTACTGGGTAGAGAGAGATCGGAACGGTTTTTTATGTGAAGACAACAACAACAACAACTATGCCAAGAGCGGGAGCGAGATCAAACTTGTTCGTGTGTGTGCATAGTCTATGTGGGAAGGATCTGAGGACGGTTCTGTGTACCGTAGATGAAGGGACATACGATGGTACCTTTTGTGGTAGACTTTCGATGAGTCAGCGGTGCCCCAATGCTGCGTCAGCCTGCGTGGGGCACTCTCATTCTCCTCTCACGGGCGTTGCTGGGGGCCCAAAACGCAGAAAAGTCCGGCCAAAAATCAATATAGGGTACCCTCGTTGTTGACGCCACCGGCCGGAGCCCCGCGGCGACGGCCGGCACAACTGGGCTCACTCAACCACACCGTTCTTCACGCTCAGAGCAGAGACCGACACGAAACTTTGCAGGAACCCCAGAAACATTGCATCCTACACCCGTGAGTGGTTCATTGTTCCATTTCATCCCTTGAATGAGAGAAAAGAGCTGCGGAAACGTGTTGAGTGACATTGTTCAACTTAGTTGCGCCGCGTTGGGAAGGGCACCTTCGGCTCCAAGTTACTACCTCGTAGAGTTGATCAAATCGCGGGATACTCGGAGGCTGTACTTCTTGGTGGGTTAGGTATCGAAGACACCCTGGTAAAAATTCGGATCAGCACTACAGGATGCGTAATCATCCTTGCCGAGGGTTGTCTACAAAACGCGGCGGAACCTCGAAAACAGGACAGGTACGGTCGCTGATACGCAGCAGACGTTGAGTGCCTCACAGCTTTGCAGCTTGCTGACCATGGTTCATGGGATGATCATGTAGTGGATAGCTTGCCAAACATCCATGGCGCACGTGGCCGCGCCCTTGATTGTGTATCTTCCAAATTTCGACAGGTCTCTCTGCCTACAAATCATGCAGAGCAGCAGCAGCCGCCGATGTAGCGCATGCCTGGAATGCGGAGAAGACTTCAGGCAGACTAGGGCTAGGACAGGAGAATTGCTTCGGAGCTTTGTAGACGAGGCTGGGTTAGCAGACAGGTTTCCCGGCTTTCAGTCGGGAGCCGCGGGCCCAAACTTGTTCGCTCTATGTAAACGTTCGGGTTGTCTGCTGGAGCTGTACAAGAAGCACGAGTGGGCGCGGAGCAGGGAACGCGTAGCGCGGAAGGCAAAGCAGACGCCGCGCCACAGCCGGACCTGGAGCGCCGCTCCTGAACCTGTCACGCACCACAAACGCCGGCGGTTTGATCGGTACTGTACTTCGCCTGAGGCGGTGGACGCCTTGCGGGATGCTGTTGCTATAACGGGTTGTGTTTTGGACATGTGCGGCGGACCTGACGACGCGGTGGCAATGGGGTTTGGCGGCACGTGTGAAGTTCTCACGAACGACGTGAGCTCGAGGTAAGGAGGTGCAGTTTTTCGAGTGAAGTCGTTTTCGATATTGTGTTTCCGGCAGTGCTGTGTGTCAGTGTGTGTCGATAGCCCCTAGTGAAACGCAACGATGGCGCACTCACACTTTACCTCCCAATGCATATTCCGTCCGCCACACAAGGCTCTCGCCAGGTACCAACCTGGACGCAAGCTTGCTTTCTTTTCCGGATGATTTTGTCAAAGCCAACCCCGGAAAGCGACCTGACTGGGTCGTCACGAGCCCTCCATACAAGGGTGCAGTGGGGTTTGTGAGGGCGGCTTTGGCGGTAGCGACGAAAGGCGCGGCGCTGAAATTGCCGCTGTCGTTCCTAGAGCCCTGTGCCGACCGTGGTGGTTGGCTTCTAGATAACCCCCCGGCTGTGTGCGTTTTTTTACGGAGGGCCAAGTACACACGTGTTCACCACGTGAAAGTCGGAGAATTTTGGGGTGTGTGGTACACCGATGGAGGCTGCTGCGGCGACAGTAGGGGGTCGAGGCTCGTGTTCTGCCCTAAATAGGGGTGCGTGTAGGAAGGGCGCAGGGCGCCCTGGCGTTGAGAAAAGTTGTTTTTTTGGTGATTCTGGTTGAGTGAAGAATGGTCTATACCATCGTGTTCCGCGCTGCCGACTACTGCTGCTTCTCGCCCTCCAAAAAAAACGTAGAATAATGCAGAGCCGCCCCCGCGGTTCAATGCCTTCGTGATGGGAGTCAAAAGCCACACGGAATCTTCGGTGCTGAAGGACACAATGCAAGTTAGCGTGGGGGCTGTTCGCGTACCCGTTTTGGACGTGTTGGCGGGTGGGTGCACCACGTGAGCAAGTGGTGTATACTGTTCCTCGACCTGAAATACGTCGATGTAGAACATTTGCAGCACCTTCGACTCCACGTGATGTTCCGGCTCGAAACACGTACATTTCCCTTTTTTTTTTTTCTCCACACCTACACAGACCTTTCATTTGTCCCTGCCCCCCACGAGGCAGCAACCGGTTCGCCCGGCGATACAACCAACTGCTCTCGTCGACTGGTCCAATCCATCTGGTCGCGCTGCTCGTACTCTGCAATATCATCCTCGCGAAACCCACCAATACTTATACCCCCGCCCGCACCGCCCACACCAGGCAAAACATCATCATCATCGGATTGGTCGTCGTCGCTCTCCCCTTCTGTCGATTCACCCCCACCGATATCGAATAGCATGGCACTAGGGTTAGTCTCTTCCACGCAACAAGCTCGTTTACATTTGCACAGCTCTGAGCAAATTGACCCTTTCTGTTTGCAGACGCAGCTCGTGCATTGGCCCCTTCCCGGTACATCAGAACATCTACATTTCACCGTCTCGACCCCGCCCGGCCAGATGGTTACCTTCGGCTCTCTGCGCAACAACATCTTACAACATCCGTCTACTTCTGGGTCCTTCAAGTACCCCTTGTTGTTCCACTCGGGAACTGCAATGGGATAGTTTTCAGAGGGTTCCGAGCCTGCAGCACTAACGGGCACAATAGAAAGCCAATATTCTACCAGCCATTCCATCCGAAGCACACAGAGGTCGAGAACATCGTAATTAGGGGCAGCCTCTCTGACCTTCCCTTGGCCGTAAGCCGCTTCGGACGTGCGTACGTGGATCGCATCAACCCATGCCTTCGTTTCATCTACCGCTCCGTTGCGTTTCTTTGGATCAACAATAGGCTCTACTTGGTGCCCGGGTGGATACAAAAACGATGCCTGGTACTTCTTAAAGTAAGCGAGGGCGACAAACTTAATCAGCTCTTCCCTTTCCAAAGCCACCCCGGCAACCGCTCCATCCTTCACTGCATGCTCACCCAGGGCCTTTAGAAACCGATGGTTCTCGGGGTTCTTGACATACTCGAAATACGACTGGAACATAAAAAACGAAGTGAACCCAAAAAATGTCGGGGTGAAATCGGTTCCGCAAAGCATGTAGGCGGCGATGACAGGCAAGCACTTCTGCAAGGGGGTGAATGCACTTGGCCAACTCGTTAATCTCGTCAGCGCGTTGAATAGCTCAAGTACGTCGACGCAGGTAACGGCGGCTTGGTCGTATAACCCGCTCTGCTTTCGCACCACTACACGCACGTTTCGAGTCCACGGATGCGCAGCGTACGCGAGGAGAGCTGCAACCCAAACGTCCGTGTCCACGGAAACTACCTCCACTCTGACCGGTTCTCGCACGCCCGCCTCCTGCCCCTCGCGGCTACCCTCCCTCGACTGCTGTTGTAAGCAAACTTGGTACACGTGGTGAAGTGCCTGGAGTTCCCCCTCCCCTAAGCCGTTATCCTTTTCTTCCGGAATTTCCGCACCGTCCACGTCGTTGTACCTGTTCGTGCGTGGAATTAGATAGTCGAAAGTAGCCGTTACGTAGGATGCCGTTGGGATGCACATGGTCTGTGGTTAGAGGCTTTGGACGATAGTGCGGACTACTTCTCCTTCTCCTTCTCACTCTCTCATGCAATCAATATACACAGTTAAACAGCAATCCCCATGTTCGCCAGCCCTACCAAGGCTGGAGCTCACGAACACGCTCACCATGATTTGTACCCGGTTGTCGTGGAGAAGTCCGGGGACAGCAAGGGCTCTCCGTCGATCCGTAGGCGCATTTCATTTATGCAGTGCTCTGCCCACTCCAACTGAATGCCGGCTGCCTTTTTCTGACGAATGCGGCCAAGTTGCCGATGAATATACTGACACAACACCGAACACACACCATCGCGGTTTTGCCGGTTCTTCAGGAACTCCTGCCATTCTGAAGACGGCGGCGTCTTGTCTCCCAAACCGAAACGGTACGGCGCTCGCGTGTACAAGGGCCCAGATTTTTTCTTCTTGGACTTAGCCCCAGGAAACAACCCTCGCGCATTATGCGCAAAGCTCTTGGGGTTGGGCACCATTGCCCTCTTGTCAAAGCAAAGCACGATACGCACGACGCGGCCTTGAAGTTTTTTCCCCTCCCTGGAGCATAGCCGCCATAGAAGACGGTCCACAATGTAGCTGGCATACGCTTCCCAGGTAAGTAGACGATTTCTCGATCTGCTTGCGACATACGCCAGGGGCGGGACTGAGTGGACGATGGTGGCCATGTCGACGGCGCACGTGTGTGGAACGGGGATGTCCGCTGGCGGTGGTTTGGAGATTGCGTCTTCAGCGAACTTGTTGACGATGTCAATGGCTTTGGACTTCGAAAACCCCTGCATCCCGCCCTTGGAGTCGCCCATCTGTGGAGGCGGGCCAGCGACAATGGGCGTGCCACCTGTGCGCGACTTCGAAAGCGCCGCAACGTACTGCTTGAGATCGCCAATGTGCCTAGCTGCTTTGCTGGAAACCCGCGTGTTGGACTTTCTCCCTTCCGGTGCCGAAGAGAAAGTGGGCAACCGAACCTGCTTGCGTGGGGCGTCACGATCTGACCTGTCGGGGTTCAGCTGCACATACTCGCCCTTGACTCCATTCTCCCACATTTGTGCCAAGGTTTCGGGGGCCGCGAGCATGGATTCTTCCAAAACCTTGAGCGCCGTGCGGCCATCAGCAGAGATGATCTCCGTCCTACCACTCTCGCTCTGCAGCCTAAAAGGGCTTTCCTCGTCGGTAAGAATCTCGCACATCTTCTCGACGGACCTAGTCCTGTGAGCACTGGCGTATATCTTTCGGTTGTATACGACACTACTGCCGAACGCCTGCTTGAAATCCTGGACGGCGCGAGCAAAACGTTGCAGGGTGAGGCCGAGCTTCTGGAGGTACCCAATCTCCGTCCCTGTCGCCGCACCTTTATACTCCTTATTCATTGTCATCTCCTGGATCTCGTCGAGACCAGTGTTCTTGCCAGGAGTGCCAGAAAGCGACAAGCTAAACGTTTCGCTCATGAACGAACGCTCGGCAGGACTCATCCTACATATGTCGGCGAGGTGTTTGATACACAAGTCGTGATACTTGTATTTGTTGTATCCCAAGAACAGCGGCGCAATTCTGCGAAGTGCGGCCTCGCGCAGATCGAAGTCGCCTATTCGAATACCTGAGGCATGCCACGATGGGGGTGAACACGAAAACATCCGTCCGGTGAGGCGCCAGGCCCCATGTATTCAAAAAAAAAAAAGAAAACAAAACTTGGGGTGGAAAAAATTTGAAAAATGCCGCACTTCGGATAGCTTTTTTGAAGATCGAGTAAAATCTCGATCGAAATTATATCCGAATGGAGTTGACAACATTTTGGGCAGTTCGTAACGTTACGACCCTGCAATTAGACATAACGACTGCTCCCAAGTGCATCCCGAGAAAGATCGATCATGGTGCGTGGGCCACAATCTCCTTTGCCAGAGTTGGGCTGCGACTTCATGCCCACGCCCCCTAACCGAAACATTTTTCACCTGCCAATACAAGAAATAAATTTTAGAAAATGGGGTTTCCCTGTGTAGACTACTTTAATAATATTATTGGAGTCTATAATTTGTATGTACCTTTTATGTAGTATGTTGACTGGAGAGTTTATTTTTCCATTGATCAAAACTACACGCGACGTTTTTTTGACAACTAGTCTACGTGTCTACGTGTCTGCTGTATCTCTTCATGAGTTGCCGAAAACGACTAAACGCCTGGTACTGGAGACAGCGATGAACAGCTACATCCATAGTGCACGGTAGACTGGGGCGTGCGTCGCAATTGCTCTATGTGCTACTGCTGTACGGCTACACAGGTGCCAGCAGCGTACCAACGACCGTTGAAAATAATTCAAATTCAAAAAATTCATGCTACTTTGATCGGCGTTGTTGGCGCACAAAGTTCTGCTGTGAGCATGTTGGATAGGAATAACTCTCGTGCTTGTCACATATCAGCACTCGGGGTGCCCGGCCCAAAGTTGCGACCCATACAACAGCAGCAGCGAGGGTGTCAGGGTGCTGTTGCGCGCGGACACATGAAGGGTGCGGACGCCACCGAACAGCACAAATCCACGACCCTGGAAGCCCCTGGCGTTGAAATCACTCTGACACCTACTCCCCTAGTACTGCCTCCATGTCTCCCACCCACCTGCAGCCAAGAGATCCAGCTTCTGGCCCACGGACGGCGTTCAGGACGTTCTCTCCAGCGGACCAAGATGGAGCGGTGCACCCGACAACGGAAGATACCACACCCCCGCACGGAGCTTCACGCCAAAGTTACTACCTCGTAGAGTTGCTCGAATCGCACGATACTCGGAGGGTGTGCTTATTGGGGTGTTAGGTGCCGAAAACACCCTGGTAAAAATTCGGATCAGCACTACAGCGGGAGCTATTGCAAGGTTTCTGTCAAACCCTATGGCTAAGCGTGTTTTGGGGGCGCGCAGATGGGGAGTTTTTTGGTCGGAAAAAACGAAGAAAGCAGCCATACGGGGCCCCCAGCAACGCCTGTGCTCTGTCTGTCGTGCGTTTGGCCTGCGGATCCAATTCAAGCCATCAACGAGACTTTCTAGTCACTGGACACAAATATGGGCATACCCGGCAATCACTCCGGCTCTAGGAGTGGTCAACAAAACTCACTTCGTAAGATAAGCTCGCTTACGCCTAATTCGAACCCCTGACCTGACCTCTATGATGAACTCTAAAAGGTGTCGAGGTTATCAACTAGAACAACCGGTTCGAAACGTGAAGGAGTAGGGATATGAACCCTGGGCATTTCGCATGCTGAGCGAACACTCTCCCCCTGAGCTACACCCCCACTTTCCTATCGTACCGTCTTAGTATTTTCGGTATTACAAGAGGAAGTTCTAGAACGGAACCTCTGGAGTACAAGCAATCGCAGAAGAACAATATTATTGCTGCTGTGAAGCGGAGCTCGGTGCTGCTGTTTGGTAAAGGTCCCTTGGTACTGCTGTAGGGAAGAGCAGCTGGGGTGGTTGGGAGGGAGAGAGGAGAGCTGGGGTCTTACGAGTCGAGTGGGTAAAGCCCAGTCGCGGCCCCCCTCCCGCTCGCCTGCTGCTCTCTCCTCTGTGACACTGCTGTCGAGCAGCACGCGTTCGAGACCGCCTACCGTAAACATGTCTGACGACGTTTCCCAAGCTGATCAACTGGCAAGTTGGTGATGTGATCATAGCCTCCACGAAGCGGAGCTCAGGCACGAGATGATATGGCTCACGGCGGAGCAGTCTCGTTTGCCTCGATCGCGATGATCGCAGCTTTGGGCCGCCGGCGCACCCGGGTGCAAGGGCTCCGCCACTTGGTGAGAAGTTAGGCAGCCTGGGGGAAGCCTGCTGCATACTGCACGCCTCGATATACAGNCGCGATGATCGCAGCTTTGGGCCGCCGGCGCACCCGGGTGCAAGGGCTCCGCCACTTGGTGAGAAGTTAGGCAGCCTGGGGGAAGCCTGCTGCATACTGCACGCCTCGATATACAGGCTCGCCGCAGGCAGTCACGCGCACAGCCAAAACACAGCGCAGATGTCGCGCACGCGTTTTCTTAATTTTAACATGCTACGAGTACACGTACACGGGGGCAATTTCAGAAGAAAAATCCAGGGAGAGATTTGGGAGGGAGAACTCATAGACTATGACTCGAGACTCGAGACAGCAGTCCCATTGAGACGCAGTAGTAGCGGGTACTGTTTTCAGAGGGTCGTGACAAGCCAGTATCCTTCTCGTAATTGCCGGATGTGTCTTGTGCCGTGTTACCTTGAACCATGAACATGGCTTACAGCAGTAGTTGCGTTTCGAACGTCTCAGGAAGAACATGCTCTCGTTTCAACCACCCGCCAAAAAGTGTTTGTGGAGGGCACATCATTCATGTTACATCACGTCAGTTAAGCTCCACTTACAATCAGTTTCGGCGAGCGATGTACCCACCGCAAGTACCGTTTGCGGTACGTGACACAGAACACCACACCTGGAACGATTTTCAAAACTCGATTGCTCCGCAACAAGTAGGAAGAGTTCTGACGCTGAAAATGGCGGCCTTGGAACCGTAGCACCCTACATTAGACTACGCATCACTGTTAACTCGTGAACTGCTGTACGCCGGCTACCTTGATGTATGGCGCGCACGCGCTGTTCACCTTGAGGTGTGATGCTTGCCTAAGAAGCCAATGGGATCAATCCTGGGAGATCGGGAGACCTCGGCAAAATCCAATGGCAACTGTTGAGAGAGGTTCCAAAGGTTAGACCAATTGTTATGGGGAATTCCAAATTGGAATTTTGGGGGGCTCCGTGAAAAAATG